TGTTTTGTCTACATTGCCTAGTCATACTTTACTTAAAGACTACTTAACCTAAGGTACATCACAGGTTATGTCCTGGTTTCCAGCAGAGCATGGGACACAAGGACCAAGAGACTAAGCAAAAAAGGCCCCTTTTGAAAGTAAACAGATACATAATTGTGAAAACAAGGAAGAGGTAGGCATCTGGAACATGTGGGCGTTCCTGGAATGCTGGAGCATCAGGACAAAGAGCTCCAGTGATGGGGGTCCGGGTGTGACGGTAGGGAATCAGCTACTGGACTGTAGTGCAGAGGAAAAAAAATACCATATTGTGAATGGAGAATTTTTCTCACAGTGAAAAGGGTCAAAGGATTCTAAATGCCCCTTCTTTGGCTGCCCTTTCTCCGCATGGGTGTCGTGGGGGCAGGCAGGCCAACATTCTCAACTTCTTTTGTGATCTTTTACATGAACACTTGATATTGTCAATGAACTACATATGAGAAGTCCTACATATGGGAAGAAAATTAGTTTTAGACAAATATTTGAGCATGTTCAGTACAAATAAATTAATTGTTAAGTGTCTCGCAGAGAAAAGCATAGGAGTGTAGGGAAAAGCCCTTGTGGAAGTGAATACTTTGAAGGGTGTAGACCATGCACAAAGAAATATGTCAGTGCCTTGTAAAATGTAAAAAAAAAAAATAGATTTGTAAAAATATTCCTTTCTAGTATCATGTGAGCATGAAAGGCAAAATGACCTGCTTGAATTGCTTAAAGTGACAATTGTATGTGCAGTTTGCTCATGGCATTGTAGTAGTCTTCTTCATAAAATAATTACTGCTCACTTTTAATTTAGAATTACCCCATGGATACCATTCCCTTCCTGTAGAGCAGAGCACAAAAATCCAATTCGTCATTTGGAGGGGAAGAGGAAGCAGATGGAGTCAAGATACAGTTAACTCCAGAGCTCAAAAGGGACAGATCCTGTACTGCTACTAAATCCATACTGTACTTTTGCTTGGGGATATTGACAACAACAACTTTAACATTACCACCTTCAAAAATGTGTGTTACTTATTCCTAACCATCAAAAACTCTGTCCAAACTTGTTTAATGGATTGTCTTTTATAATATAATACAATATGCTTTATTTCTCTCCATTTCATTTCTTTGGTCAATATGGTGGTTTCCTGCTGTACATAAACTTGATGGTTTATTAGTGGACACATTAATAATGGTCAGTCACCATCAGCTTCCCCTACCCATTGACAGATTTTCCCTATGTCCACCTCCTCCCCAATCCACTCCAATCCACTCCAAGCCAACCTATTAAACACTTTCTTATTAACACGCATCAAGAGTGAACAGCATTCATCTCCACCAAGTCTAATGGGACCAGGCATAAGACAATCAAGTCAATGAGTCTTGTTTCAGTACAGGAGTGCTGAGATGGTCTGCGGGTGGACACTTCTGCCAGTGTGTGCACTTCTGCTCTGCAGAATCATCCCTTAGCCCAAATTCGTACTCTTTTACTTTTTTAAATTAACACTTTATATTATCAATGGACTACTTATTTGATATATACAGTAAGCAGTCATACACATGGGAGATATTTAATTCAGCAAATATTCACACACATACATTTTTTTATGAATTATTGCTGTATTGTCTCTTTTTCAAGGCCTAATGACTTGGTTAACTCTCTTCTGTCTGCATAGATAGATGCCTTCTATTCAAAATAAAAACTCATAAATTAGTGATTCTAAATGCTCTGCAAAGATAGCATCTCTGTGAACACTCACACACGACACACACTAATAACCAACCAAGCCAACCTAGACTAATCATTTGCTGTTGATTTCTAGTAGACTTCATGCTAAGCTAATAATGATATACTCCAATGACTACAGGAAACACAACACACAAATATTGAATATGTATTTTCAACTGTTTCTGGATAATGTATATTGTAGAATAATTTATATATCGTCGCTATTGGAAAGAAACCTTTTATATCTAAAACGTATGTTTTTTTCACTGCCATTAGAACAGCAGTATATGTGGCCTCATGAGAATACGTGTTTATTTGTACGTAAAGTGTAGCTCTATCATACGTACATTTATTTACGTTTTATACACGACGAAATGTATAATGATGACGTATTTACAGTCCTAAAATGTAAACCATTTACGTATTGACAGCACAAAAACATAATTTATTTATGTATGAATAAATCTACCGATGGACAAATTTGTACGTATCACTATTTATGCATATTAAAATCATAGCATTCACTATGCATTCACTCTATTGCATTCAACTGTCTTATTAATTTTTCAGTCACATTAATATGTTACTCATAAATATTAACATTTTTGCTCATTTCACCTGCATGGTGTTAAACAAGAATACACTATAAAACCTTAAAAATACATTCTTTACTCATTTAACCATTTTGTAATATAGTTTATTTACCGTGAGACACAGAAAGCGTTTTCTCCAATAAAACACAACATAAACTCACAAAAGACATCCATTTTATTAGCTTGATGTAATCCAAATCTTTAGAATCCAAAACCTACGTGTTTTGCAAGAAAAAACTCGGCCTTTTATCCAGTCGTGATCTTCATCTCCATTTCTCAGCAGCGAGCGTACACGTCAAAGACCATGCTGATGAATTCAAATTCAAAAATTGCCCTCTCAAGAAGCGTTACGTCATGTTTTACGGCAGTGACATCAAACGTTCATTGGCTCTTCCCTACTTCATCACAGATTGTGACATGCCGTGTTTCAGTCGGTGACGGTGTAGTTCATTTGAAATGGAGAAGCGCGCGTGCCTTAACAGTGCGAAACGAAGCCGGATTATTTTTATTTATTTATTTTTTTTTTTACCTTTATTTTACCAGGAAAGAAGCACATTGAGATTAAAAATCTCTTTCACAAGAGCGTCCTGGCCAAAACTGACAGACACAGCACATTTGAGTGTAACAAATAACATCCAACAATACAAACACATATATACACACAAGCAACTCAAGTACAATTCATCATCATCATCATCTTCTTCCGCTCATCCGGGCCGGGTCGCGGGGGCAGCAGTCTAAGCAGAGATGCCCAGACTTCCCTCTCCCTAGACACTTCCTCCAGCTCTTCTGGGGGGATACCGAGGCGTTCCCAGGCCAGCCGGGAGACATAGTCTCTCCAGCGTGTCCTAGGTCTTCCCCGGGGCCTCCGCCCAGTGGGACGTGCCCGGAACACCTCCCCAGGAAGGCGTCCAGGAGGCATCCGGAACAGATGCCCGAGCCACCTCAGCTGACCCCTCTCGATGTGGAGGAGCAGCGGCTCTAGTCTGAGCTCCTCCCGAGTGACCGAGCTTCTCACCCTATCTCTAAGGGATCGCCCAGCCACCCTGCGGAGAAAGCTCATTTCAGCCGCCTGTATCCGGGATCTTGTCCTTTCGGTCATGACCCAAAGCTCATGACCATAGGTGAGAGTAGGAACGTAGAATGACTGGTAAATCGAGAGCTTTGCCTTACGGCTCAGCTCCTTCTTCACCACAACAGACCGGTACATCGACCGCATTACTACGGGAAGAAGTCTGACTTACTACCGGCAATGCGAACCAAGCTCCTGCTTCGGTCATACAGGGACCGGACAGCCCTTAGCAAAGGACCCCGGACCCCATATTCCCGGAGCACCCTCCACAGGCCGCCTCGGGGGACACAGTCGAATGCCTTCTCCAAATCCACAAAACACATGTGGACTGGTTGGGCAAACTCCCATGAACCCTCCAGCACCCTGTAGAGAGTATAGAGCTGGTCCAGTGTTCCACGGCCAGGACGAAAACCGCACTGTTCCTCCTGAATCCGAGGTTCCACTATCGGCCGTATTCTCCTCTCCAGTACCCTGGCATAGACTTTCCCAGGGAGGCTGAGAAGTGCCCCTCCTTGAACTGCCACCTTAACGTGGTGGAGGGGTTTGAGTACCCGAATGACCCTAGGAGCTATGTTGTCTGGGGCTATATGCCCCTGGTAGGGTCTCCCAAGGCAAACAGGTCCTAGGCGACGGGTCAGACTAAGAGCGGTTCAAAAACCCCTTATGATGGAAATACATCCAAGGACCGTGACGTCGCCCGGTATGGCGCAGCCGGGGCCCTACCCTGGAGCCAGGCCCGGGGTTGGGGCTCGTATGCGAGCGCCTGGTGGCCGGGCCTCTCCCCATGGGGTCCGGCCGGGCTCAGCCCAAAGAAGCGACGTGGGACCGTCTTCCCGTGGGCTCACCACCTGCAGGAGGAGCCGTAAGGGGCCGGTGCAGAGAGGATTGGGCGGCAGTCGAAGGCAGGGGCCTCGGCGACCCGATCCCTGGACACGGAATCTAGCCTTAGGGACGTGGAACGTCACCTCACTGGCGGGGAAGGAGCCCGAGATTGTGCGTGAGGTTGAGAGGTTCCGACTAGAGATAGTCGGAATCACCTCTACGCATGGCTTGGGTTCTGGAACCACACTCCTTGAGAGAGGATGGACTCTTCACCACTCTGGAGTTGCCCATGGTGAGAGGCGGCGGGCTGGTGTGGGCTTGCTTATAGCCCCCCAGCTCAGCCGCCATGTGTTGGAGTTTACCCCGGTGAACGAGAGGGTCGTTTCTCTGCGCCTACGGGTCGGGCATAGGTCTCTCACTGTCGTTTGTGCCTACGGGCCAAACGGCAGTGCAGAGTACCCGGCCTTCTTGGAGTCTCTGGGAGGGGTGCTGGAAAGTGCCCCGACTGGGGACTCCGTTGTTCTACTGGGGGACTTCAACGCTCACGTGGGTAACGACAGTGACACCTGGAGGGGCGTGATTGGGAGGAACGGCCCCCCCGACCTGAACCCGAGTGGTGTTCAGTTATTGGACTTCTGTGCTAGTTACAGTTTGTCCATAACGAACACCATGTTCAAGCATAAGGGTGTCCACCAGTGCACGTGGCACCAGGACACCCTAGGTCGTAGGTCGATGATCGACTTTGTGGTCGTTTCATCTGACCTGCGGCCATATGTCTTGGACACTCGGGTGAAGAGAGGGGCGGAGCTGTCAACTGATCACCACCTGGTGGTGAGTTGGATCCGATGGCGGGGGAGGAGGCTGGACGGACTCGGCAGACCCAAGCGTACTGTAAGGGTTTGCTGGGAACGTTTGGCCGAATCTCCTGTCAGAAAGATCTTCAACTCTCACCTCCGGCAGAGCTACAACCAGATCCCGAGGGAGGCTGGAGATATTGAGTCTGAGTGGACCATGTTCTCCACCTCCATTGTCGAAGCGGCTGCTCGGAGCTGTGGCCGTAAGGTCTCCGGTGCCTGTCGAGGCGGCAATCCTCGAACCCGGTGGTGGACACCGGAAGTAAAGGATGCCGTCAAGCTGAAGAAGGAGTCCTATCGGGCCTGGTTGGCTCGTGGGACTCCAGAGGCAGCTGACGGGTACCGGCAGGCCAAGCGGACTGCGGCCCGGGTGGTCGTGGAGGCAAAAACTCGGGCCTGGGAGGAGTTCGGTGAGGCCATGGAGAAGGACTATCGGCTGGCCTCGAGGAGATTCTGGCAAACTGTCCGGCGCCTCAGGAGGGGGAAGCAGTCCCCTACCAATGCTGTTTACAGTAGGGGTGGGCGGCTGTTGACCTCGACTGGGGATGTCGTCGGACGGTGGAAGGAATACTTCGAGGACCTCCTCAATCCCGCCGTCACGTCTTCCATTGAGGAAGCAGAGGCTGAGGGCTCGGAGGTGAACTCGTCCATCACCCTAGCTGAGGTCACCGAGGTAGTCAAGAAACTCCTCGGTGGCAAGGCACCGGGGGTGGATGAGATCCGCCCCGAATACCTCAAGTCTCTGGATGCTGTGGGGCTGTCTTGGTTGACACGCCTCTGCAGCATCGCGTGGCGGTCGGGGACAGTGCCTCTGGGATGGCAGACCGGGGTGGTGGTTCCTCTTTTTAAGAAGGGGGACCGGAGGGTGTGTTCCAACTATAGGGGGATCACACTTCTCAAGTACAATTTCAAAATCAAAATACAGAACTAGCTAAAACATCTACAGCCCGATGTTTCATTCTCTAAATCATTTAAAATTGATTTAAAAGTGTCCAACGAAACCAGTTTCCTCAGTTTCAACGTACTTTGTAAACAATTCCAGGCAGAGGGAGCAGCAAATTTAAATGCCTTTTTCCCAAATTCAGTTCGTACCACTGGAACAGACAGTAAAAATAAGTCCTGTGATCGGAGGCTATAGCTAGAAGGATACTTTTTACAGATATATGTACAAAGATATGATGGTAATAAACCCAGGATGGATTTATAAATAAAAACATGCCAGTGTTTTTGTCTTCGGATGGACAGCGCAGACCAACCAACCCGAGCATACAACACACAATGATGAGTGAGAGTTTTCAGATTTGTTATAAACCTCAGTGCACCATGATAAACAGTGTCTAAAGCATGTAAACATTGTGTAGATGCATGCATATATATAACATCACCATAATCTAGTTTAACTATATTCTAATCTAGATTAACATTTTCATGGATTTTTAATATAAATTCTGATCTGTACCTCATACAAAACTATTATAATACTACCAGAGAGGACTGCGACTGCAACACATTAATCATGTGAACGGCTTTTGGTAGCGGTTTTGACATTTTTGCAATAAATACATTATTGTGATTATACTTAGTCTACAACATAGACTAAATTACAATTATGAAGAAAAACATATATATGCACAAAAAGTATTCTCGTCGCTTGATAAACTTATAGTTGAGCCACTGTAGGCACATGGAATATTTAAACATTTTCTTTAATGACTTTCTGGGCCGTCAAGTGTCATTCCCTTAGGCAGTATGTAGGAGTGATCCACCTCTCAAATTTAATCAAAAATATCTTCATTTGTGTTCCAAAGATGAACAAATGTCTTACGGGGTTGGTACAGCATGGGGGTGAGTAATTAATGACTTAATTTTCATTTTTGGGTGAACTAACCCTTTAATGTTATTTGGACTGATTTTGCATACTGATTTAGTCTTAAAATTACCCAGTTTGGACAGTCTGTTATGGTCTTGAAGGAATAGTTGATTTAAAGGGTTAGTTCACCCAAAAATGAAAATTCTGTCTGTAATTACTTAAGTTTTAAGGGGTAGAAACAATTATTCATTATTAATTAATTATTGACAGAATTTTCATTTTTGGGTAAACTAACCCTTTAATGCTAGTTTGATTAAATTGTTTTTAATGTCATTTGGACTGAACAGCACACTTGCCTGATGACCTTTTGTAAAAAAAATAAAAAATAAAAATAAATAAATCAATAAATACTGTTATTGCATAATTTTCTTTCATCATTTCTTTATACTACTATTTTCCCCTTGTCTTAATGTAACTTTATTAATTTGAGTGTAATTAACTTAAATCATTCACGGCAATCGGTTTCCTCAAACCATTTCAGTAGCTATATAGTTGTTTCAACTTGATTCAATTTCTTAAATTAACTCAAACCAGTTAGTTTAAATTAATGACATGAACTTAAAATCTTTAAGTTAACTTTACTCAAAATGATTGACTAAACCAACACTAAATTATGAGTAAATATGACTCGATATATATATAAGTTCACAATACTCATATGTAGTTGTTTTTAAACTTAAACGGTATGTAGCAATCAGTTTCTTCAATCAGTTTGAGTTGAGTTAACTCATTGGGTTTTACAGTGTGTGTTTTCCACTGTGTTTGTTGTCAAACTCAAAAATTAGTTTCTTTTAAATTATTAAAAAATACCGTTATTTTTTATGGAAAAGGTAATAATTGTATTTTGTATTTTATCAAGAAAAATATTTTGGTTTGACTTGTATATTTTTTTGATTAGATAAGATAGCATTTTAAGCTGTCACATAGTTTAAAATGTTAAAATGTGCCCCTCACATGTTACAATGTACCCCACCTATGGCGCATGTTGTCACATTTCAACATTTCTTTCAGGGTAAATCAAGAAAAAAAGTATACATGGTATTACTAAAACAAAACCACATAATTGTACGAGATATGTGGGAAATTAATGTGGGAAAAAAATACTCAAAATAGATTTGCCACAAACTGAGAAAGTCCCCTGTGAGATTCAACACATTCTTTCTGTTGTGTGACTGTGTGGAATTTCTTTGAATTGCCATGAATTTAATTCCACTTCCTATCATTCCAATTCCAATTCAACTTTCTGTGGGGTGGAGTCAATTCAATTCAAATTCCAATTCATGAATTGAATGGAGGCCAATTCTGAAATTAAGAATTTTGCACAAGCCTGGCGCTAATAATCATTAGTTAAGCATTAGTAAACAGTTAATTCATAATTCATAAAGCATTAATAGACATTAATAAGCAGTTTATAAATACAGCTATAAATTCTTTCTTCTTGATTTAAAAACATATCTATAATTTGTTTAATAATTGTATTTTTATCCTTTATTAATGATCAATTTATCATTTCTAAATGAATTGCACTTTTATAAAACAGTTATAGAGTTTTCAGTGGTTCATTAGATTACTTAGAATGTGTAAGTAAATGATTAATAAACTATTTAAATGTACATTCATACATCTTATTATTCAGACATATAGTGATGGTTACTTAGTGTGTTTATAAATGCTTTATTAACATGTATTTGTGCTGTAATTCAGAGTTAATTTGGGTAGTTATAAAGCATTTAGTAGTGGTCAGTTAACAATGTTTGTGAGCTCATCTAAAGTGAGGACTATTCAAGCCTTTGTAAAGCATTTATAAAGGAGATTTAAAAGCTGTTAAATATTTCTATGATCTGTATCACTGTGTTGTGTTTGTTAAATTTTACTTTTTAGAAGATGCGCTTTTAATCTCCTTTATAAATGGTTTACAAGGCTTGAATAGTCACTTTAGATGAGCTCACAAAATAGTTAACTGACCACTACTAAATGCTTTATAACTATCTTACTACAGTTAATATGTTCTAAGTTATCTTATGAATGACTGACAACTCCTAAATAACTGGTTTGTAAATTATGCTTTACTTCATTTAGAAATTATTAATTGATCATTAACAAAGTATGAATATACAATTACTAAACGCATCATATGCTTATAAATCAAGAAATAAAAGCATTTATAGCTGTTTTTATAAACTGCTTATTAATGTCTATTAATGCTTTATGAATAATGAACAAACTGTTTACTCATACTTAACAAAGGATTAATAGCGTGCAAGTGTTACCAAACCTTTTACCTCTAAATAATACAGTTCAAATACGCACGCAGAGGCTTCTGTTTCAAAAATCAGTTGTGGAAAATAGACAAATCTGTTTAAAATAACTGTTTACTTTATATAATGTCCTTTCAATGAGAGCAGCAGAAGGAACATTTAAAATGAATATGCAGTTAAATTATTATAAACAGAGGCCCTGTCTGAATTTATATGAGGTGCCTGAGAAAAGGAAAAAGAGGACGCCACAGCAGGTAGACTTTGTGGTTTGGAGATGGCAAAGTGTGTATGTCTGATTCCAGCATTGCCGAGTGACACACGCAGCTAACAGCATTCTCAGATGGTAGCGGTCATGGAACATTGAAATCCGGCCATTACCCTGTCAAACTGCACCAGACACTCAAACTGCCAACATGCGACCCAAATCAGAAAACTTGCTTCTTCAAATAGAAAAAAAAGAGACATACAATCCTGTTTTTCTAAAAGAAAGGTGACTGCATTGGCTGCATAACCAGTCCAGAGCAGTGGGAAGGAGAGTTACAGTAGGAGGTCATACTGTTTGGTTCTTTAAGTATCTTTAAGGCATCTAAAAGTCTCAAGGTGTGCTTTTTAGAAGTAGGTCAGTTCTTGAAGTATTGGAAAAAGAAGAAGAAAAAAAACCATATATACATTTATTAAGTGCAGTCATGATGAAAATGCCTTGTGATCTTTCCTAAACTGAATGTAGTATCCATGAAAGGCTTTACTGTGCCTTAACATATAGCATGTAGATCTCTGTGGTAGCATTTAAGAAACCAGTCGTCCTCAATGTATTGGGGGCTTGAGAGACTGCCATTGTTCTCAAATCATGTTCACTTCCATTGACGCATTGATTATATGCCAGAAACAATGAAGTTTGTGCACTGTTTCTTTATCTCCTAACTATATATGGTGTACAACACTGTCCTGTTTGGGAGCAAGCATTTATAAATTAAAACCAAATATAAACTTTGGAACACAGGAGTAGAGAAAACAAGAACTCAACCAAACCATGCATGAGACCGGACAAATGAAAAAAAGGGGGGCTTAAAATACACTACAAAATGAATTAAACAAGAAACGGGTGTACATAATCAAACACCAAGGAAACTGATCAAACCAGGAAGTAAACAAAGGGAACATGAAACCATAAACAAAATCTAAAACTATCTACAACAAATTCAAAAAAAAAAAAAAAAAAAAAAAAAAAAAAACAGAGTAATAGAAAAAATTTTTTTTTTTCAATTTGACTGTTTTCATGCAGCAGAGAATTATCCATTTCCTGTCATCTCAGTCATATGTCTGGAGGCCAGAGATCGCAGCCCAATTAGGGCCAGTCATTTAACCCTTTCACGCGTACGATCACACCGGTGTGATCAGTCTTGGCTGGTCCCTGGAGCGTACGATCACACCGGTGTGATTAGAACGTTCAGTGCACACGTCAGCAACTGCTAAATTCAAACTTGCTCTCGCGCGTTGGCTGGCGCTCAGCCAGAGACAGACGCACTC